GCAACTGCGGCCTCAGCGTGTCAAAAGGCCGCCGAGACGGTTCAGGGACTTTGTTTGTTCCCTCGAGGTCGAGGAACTTTGTGAAGGGGGAGCAGTGTAGCAAGTCTAAAGACGGTTTATGTTCAATATGTAGATGCATGTATTTTCTTTCATGTGTTATGTGTTCTGGTTGTGTGGGGCTTTAAGGCATCTGCTGTTCTTCTGGAGAACGAGCCTGCGCAGTTTTGCGGGGGCGGGGTAAAAAAGGGAAAGGGGTTTCCCTGAAGAATGTTGTTTTTGTTGTTGGATTTTGTGAGGCAAGAGCATCGGCCACACGGGTGCTCGGGAATAAAATAGAGCATTGAAACTGCTAAGTGCGTCTATCATTTTCTCCGATCGTTACACTATCTATTTTTGTTGAATTTCAGTTTTATCAATAAAAGCCATTATAAAAGTATAAGTAAAAGGTACAAAAAGATATACAGTAAAGCTTTAATAACATAAAGCAAACAATTCAGTCAAATATACAAATTCAGCGCTCAAATAGGCTATATGAAACTTCACTTAGCCTTCTGCCAAAACTATTGGCCAGGGAACGAATTATAGATTCACGACACCAAAGATCGCCTGTTAGGTCTGTACAAGACGAATTATATCTCATGTTTAACCACTACAGAGACGTCAGAGTCAGCGGAAAACATCAGAATGACTAGCCGGGGAAAGGCTGCTCCAGGCGGGGTGCACGAGCGCCGAGCGTCCGGTTGCTTGTAATGGATCTTCAAATTATCATAAATTTATAAATAAACCACAGATTTGAGCTTTAAAAAACTACTTTCTCGCCTGAAAAACTCTTAAAACTACATTTCGTGACACAATAACAGTAGTATATATTTCAACTGTATGTTTCTAATGCCCTTGTAGCACGCGCAAGTGACGATACTCTGTCAACCAATCACCGTTCTGCAGTGAGTCTAGCTCCACCTTTTAGTACCGTACCACTGTGCTAGGTACCCCAACGGAAGGGTACCCAAAAAGTGGTACGGTACGGTTCGGCTTTTTGGTACCATTCACAACTTTTGACAGTGGAAACGCAAATAATTGCGTACCGAACCGAACTGTACCGTACCGTACCACTCAGTGGAAACGAGCCATAACTTTCCAACAGGGGACTTTCATAGCATGCAATGGAACTCTGTGTGTGTGAACAGTGAAGTGAACTGGCAGTGAAGTCTGTCTTCATTATGTAACTTTATATATATATGTTCACACAGGCATCAGAGATCACAATATGTATAGATAAACATAAACAATATATAATTAAAAAAAGAATGACCAAACCATCAGTTACCAAAAAATGTAAAAAAAAAATGTAATTGCTTGAGGAAAGACCATTTGAATCTGTTTTTCATACAACTGGGTAAAAAATACCGGCGGCCCGGCGGCAACAGTTCAAAAGCAGAGACGAGAAGACGCCTCTTATCATTCGTTATATTATTTTTCTTATTTAACGCTCTCTCTTCATAGACACTTCCTATGCTTGGTTATGCAGTCCCTAACAATTTACTTACCATTGTTATGTGCCATTGCGCCCACACACACACACGTTTTATGAGAACATTCCATAAACATATTAAATTTTATACTGTACAAACTCTATATTCTATATTCTGATTGATTTATAAGCCGTTTTCCTCATGGGAACCAAAAATGTCCCGACAAGGGTTTTGGATATTGCTATCTTTGTGGATATTGTTATCTTTGCAAACCTCTGTACTGAAAAACACAAATATAGATCTATGTAAAAACACTTGGAAATACACAGTCAGACACATTCAGATAAAACATACTGACAGAGATGGAAACTGTCTCAAAAAATAATTTGAACCATTTAAGGAAAATTTTATTTATTTAATAATAGTAATAATTAAGGGGCTCAAAGCATACCAGCAGCATTTCTCCATTGATAAATCTTACATATGTAGACTCTAAGAGCTGTGACGGGGCAAAGTAAGGGAGTCTCGACCTCGAGCGCTTGATGTAGTCAATTGATGAACATCTCGATGCTGGTCCGCCATCTCCTGAGACTGGGCTAATATTAACAAGTTGACTATGAAGTATGGATGCCCTGAAGTCTCAGAGGAGCCAGAGCTCCATCCATACACTTCATGAATGTGCGAGGGGATAATGCTAGGCAGAGTGGAAGAACACGATATTGGTATGCTTCGCCCCTGAAAGTGAACCTCAGGAACTTCCTGTGTTGTTGAAGGATGGAAATGTGGTAGTATGCGTATTTCAGATCGATCATGCCAAACCAATCCGCAGACCTGATTTGAGACACGATGAGAGAAATGGTCAACATCTTGAACCTGTATCTCCTCAGAGACTGGTTCAAAAGCCTCAGGTCCAAAATGGGACGTAGAGCCCGTAGAGTACCGGCTGTAGAGCCCGGTATTTCTCTCTGGTGGAGGAATGCGTTCTGTGGCCCCCTTTGCCAGAAGAGAAAGCACCTCCTGTTCCATAACCCGAGCCTGCTCTGAGCCCACTATCGTGGTCTGTACCCCATTGAATCTGGGTGGCTGACGCCCAAACTGGATTCTGTATCATTTCTGTATCGACGCAGCACCATCTGAAACACATTTGGTATAGCTTTTCAAGCTGCCAGAAAGTCTACTCGAGGTATACCTCGGATGTATTTATATGTAGGCTATAACTTCGGTCCCCTGAAGCGAATGTACGGCAGGGAAAAACCGAACCGATATTTCTACAGGCCTCCTCGGGGAGGATGAACCCCCCCCCCCCCATGACAATGAATTTCGGGGTTCATTGGAAATCGTCGTGCCCTGAAGCGTCGTGGGTGGCAGGGTTAACAAATTTCCTGAGGGTTCCGCGAAGAAACGGGTGTAATTCGCTCTCTCACAGGAAGGGGCGCCCTCAGCGGCCTGCGCATTGCTTCAGGACCTCTTTCCCAAAGCTTTCATAGCGAGAAGGACTTTCCTCAGATCCAGCAGGGCATCAAGGAGGAAAGACTTGTACCTCTCCTTGATACCCGAGAGGTTCAACCAGAATTGTCTCTGCGTTGCCACATTAGCTGCCATGGAGCGGGCGATGGCACGTGTTGTCTTCCTAATGGCACGGAGAGGTAAATCAGTGGCCCGACACAGCTCTTTAATAGCATCGGACCCCACCTCTTCTGCCTCATCCAGGTCACTAAGCAGGTCCACCTGGTACGCTTGTGAAATACCCACAGTGTGAAGACAAGCACAAGCCTGACCCGCTGTCATGTATGCCTTGCCCACCAGCGAAGAAGTAGTACGGAACGACTTGGTGGGTCAGGGACTACGAAGCATCAGGGCAGAGATAAGCAGCCAAAGTCTCTTCAACCCTGTGCATTGTCCCATAGCCATTCTCCTTAAAGGGGTGGAATAATGCCCCTTTTTACAATATGTAAAATAAGTCTCTGTTGTCTCCAGAGTGTGTATTTTTAGTTTTAGTTAAGTTTTATCTTAAAATACCCCACAGATAATTTTGTGCAGCATGTTAAATTTGTCCCTTTTTGAGGGTCAGTAAAAACACATCGTTTCGTGTGTGTCCCTTTAAATGGAAATGAGCTGTTGATCCAGGCACAGAGGGCGGAGCTTCAACAGCTCCTGTGTGTGTGTGTGTGTGTGTGTGTGCGTGTTACCTCACGCAGGGCACTAAAAGCACTAAAATGTCAGGAACCGTTCTTCCTTTTATGTTTTAACTGGAGTCGGACAATGATGGAGAGACTCAAGCAGAAGTGACAAGATGTAGAATGCAACATGACGTTTCTAAATGGTTAGTTGTATGTTAATTTATGTAGCTGATGTGGAGTTAACTATCTTCAAGTCATTGATTAGTGTATTCTGTCTTGATGATCTATAAATCGCTCGTGTGGGAACTGTTGTAAGATGCATACAGAGTGACATGCTATTGCATTTGTGTTACGAACTGTATTGCATGTGAAAAGACGGATACGACAGCTTAAGCAGACTCACAAATGTGCTCGACTACAACAACTCTTCCTCTTCTCAACATGGACTGCGTGTTCCCGGGGGCGGGTTTATGTAAATTTTAGGGTTGGTGATGTCACTATCCCGGGAGGAATGTCGTGTAGTCCCTACCAGCCGTTTGTTGTAATCCTTAAAAAACAATTTCTTTGAAAGCAAATATCTTCAAATACCTTTGAACTTTGAGCGTTGTAACTTTGCAGATGTTGTTTATGCTCAGACAGCAACATTACACACTAACTAAAGTTAGAAAAGTGAAATCATAATCAATCACTCCTTTAAGCCCCACAATCGAAGAATAATGATGGACTGTGGGACTAGATATGCGGGAGGAGAATGGCTTTTTCCACGATCTTGTCACCTCAGTGACAAGTGACAAGAACGGTAAGCCCCGACGTAGAGGTTGTGGCTGTGACTGCTAAAAGCGCTCATCTAACTTGCTTTTTCTAATCGCTTCAATGTTTAGTATAGACACAGCCCGAGACACAACCTCCATAAGCGCTTCGTACTGCGGGGATGCTACTGGCTAATCATTAATATTTCCTGCATCAATGCTGAGGAACGTCTAACTAGACAAACCCAACATTAAACTCTCACTCGGGGCTGAAGAAGCCACAGAGCGGACTTCCGTATCCCGAGATTGAGCAGAGGAAGCAGCGGGTAAGGGCTGAGAAAGGGACGCAGCCGTCTCAAACCCCTCCACTAGTTCCATTTGCGAACCCAATGAATGAAGCCGCCGCTCTGCCTCGGCAGAAGCGGGACCCGATCCGCACCAATCAAAAACGGACTAGTTGCACACGTGCTTCAGGCGCAGTCCCGCTGAGTCAGGTGGGACGCAGCGAGAGTTCCCTCGAAAGGGAACCTGAACAAAAACATATGTAAAGCATACATTTATTTTAGGATACACTGTTCTAATGAATATTTCAACTTTTGAAAAATATAGAAGATAAATAAAAACACTTACATTGTCTTCTGTCACTTTTTATCAAACAGGTGAATGAGACCATCTACTACAATGCCAAGGACAAGGTAAGATTTAATTTTTTAAAATACATATTATGATAAGCGCTAAAAAATATTAAGATGTAATTTTTAAGAATTGTTTTTTTTATTTGAGAGATTTCGCTTTTTGTTATGTTCCTAGTTTCACATTAATGACACGGAAATGCACCAAAACCGGGTCCGACCAGAATTCAAAGAGGATCCTGCTTTCAAACGCCTTGTTTCATACAATACGACAGCAGTGCACATTCCCACAGATATTTATGAGGGCTGTGAGTATACACAAACACACACACACACACACACTCATCTAAACATGTTCTTTTTTACATCTTTGCGCGGTAACTAAAATCTGTTTATAAAATCAATATTTCAGTGACAGCTCAGCTTTATTGCTGTGTGTCAGGTGTGGACAGCCAGAGGCTTGTGGGAAAAACTACAGACTAAATTTAGAGAGCAGTCCAGCTCTAGCACGCCTGGCCCATGAGTGACCCCACAACCCCCTAATATCCTCCAGCAAGAGAATAACTCTCACTCTCTGTCTTTTGCTTTAAAAGGTTATTGATTATGAGTGTTTTCAGGTTTCTACCAGTGTTGAGAAAGCTAGTAGATTATTAGTAGCTTGTAACCTGTGATAGATGGATGGATGGATATTAGATGCACACAAAGATATGTATTATAATAGTCCATTTTAGTCAGTTTGATCTGTTTTTGACACTTTATACATTTCATTAATTATTACCTATGACTTTTGCCTCAATAAACTCCTAATTACTGCTTATTAATAGTCAGTAAGGTAGTTGTTAAGTTTAGGTATTGGGTATAGGATTAAGGATGTAGAATATGGTCATTCAGAATAAGGCATTAATATGTGCTTTATAAGTAGGCCTACTAATAAACAGCCAATATAGTAATATGCACGCTAATAAGCAACTAGTTAATAGTGAGAATTGGACCCTAAACTAAAGTGTTACTAATAGTTTTATTCAACAAGCGCGCTTTATATTGAATAAAAGTGGCAGTGAAGACATTTATAATGTTTCAAAATATTTTTATTTCATATAAATGCTGTTCTTTTGAAAAAAAGATCACGGTTTCCACACAGCACAACTTTTTTCAACATTGATAATAATAAGAAGAAATTTTTCTTGAGCAGCAAATCAGCATATTAGAATGATTTCTGAAGGATCACGTGACACTGAAGACTGTTGTAATGATGCTGAAAATTCAGCTTTGCAATCACAGATATAAATTATATTTTAAAATATGTTAAAATAGAAAAAAGTTATTTTAAATTGTAATAATATTTCACAATATTACGGTTTACTGTACTTTCGAACAATTAAAAGCACAAGACAATTCAAAGTTTCAAGGAGGAACCCAAAACTTTTGCAAGCGAATGCAAAACCATTCAAATATCAATTTTTCTTCTATCTCACTTTTTCTCATTACCATGTCCATTCAAGGGCTCCATAAGAAATAGTAAGCTTAGTACACTAGTATACTATTATATCAGCCAAAGTGTGGGCTTATAGGAGGTCCACAAAGGGTTAGGCATTTGAGCAGACATACTGCACATTTAGGCAAATACAGTAGGTCAAACATTCAATACATAGAGAAAAAGGTTATTTTGTCCACAGGAGTTTGTGTAGTATACTTTTTATTTTTTTGCATTTCACTAGTTAACCCCGCCCACAATACATCTCATTGGTCCCTTATAGCTGTATGTTGAACATCAAATGCGTATGTTGGCTGTGATTTGCCACACTTTATTATATTGGTCAAAACAGCACACTAAACAGCAGCAGCACTAAATTACATTTAAATTACATTTAAATGACAAATTACATTTACAATTACATATCATTTACATGCTAAATGACTAAATGTAAAACGGCTAGCACCTTCTTAAGAGTCACAAGATGTATCATATTCTCTGTGTTGGCAGAAATCTGTTGTCCTCAGCGGTCGACTCACTGTGGGTTAACATGTGAGTGTTTCACAGGCAAATGAGTTTGATGTGATATTTGTGTTCTAGATGAGGACTGAAGCAGCCGCGTTCATCATATGACTCATCTCGCTCTGTCCCGCTGTCTCTCTTTATCTACTTTTACTCACTTCAAATTACTCTCAGTACCTTTTGCTTTCCGCCTGATTTTCTTGGTCCGGCAGCATTGCTTAGTGCTTACCCATAACCCCCTTCCCAGCAACAGCCACTGGGTGAAGTTTTCAGGCAATATTCATTATTTATCATTAAATCAAATTTAAAGGAGCTGTATGTAAGATTGTGGCCAAAACTGGTACTGCAATCACTTTCAAATTACTGTAGAGTGGTGTATCCCCTCCCCCTCCCCCCTGACTCAAGGTTGCCAGATAGGCTGCAGGATCCAGCAGGAACGTGACGAGCTGCAGCTGTGGTAACTAGAGGAGAGCTGGCAACCCGGATGCCGCAACACTACTGACTTCGTGATTGGTAGATAGGTGGAGGGTGGAGCATCAGACCAAAACACAACATGACAACATCAACATCAGTTGAGGGCTGCAACTGCACTTTTTAAATGACAATATCCTGGCCGGACAACTGTTGTCAGTGATATAAGTATTTGAAATGTACATGATTTCTTAATGTCTAGTGATATATCAGGGCCATTTTATGATTAATTGAAATACATTTCTTACATACAGCTCCTTTAATAATAGTTTATGTAATAATGTGGCTGATTATTCAAGTGTTTGTGTATTTTTATATGTGTGTGTGTGTGTTATTGGAGGCTCTGGGCTGTCTGTATTTGTGTCTTATTAAAACACGAATCTGTACTTTTTGCCTCAACACAGCGTGTCATCTGTCACCACAATCTCAAGATGGACATAGACATGCTCAGAGTGTGTGTGTGAGAGAGAGCACGATGACGTGTGTATGTCACACAGATCCCTCTGGCTGTGCTCATAGTGCTCAGATTGTTTTTTCTGTTGACTATCTGCCCTGATTCATTTAAACCAGTGGAAGTTGTCGTTAAATCTTCCTCCACATATTCACTCTCTCTCTCTCTCTCTCTCTCTCTCTCTCTCTCTCTCTCTCTCTCTCTCTCTCTCTCTCTCTCTCTCTCTCTCTCTCTCTCTCTCTCTCTCTCTCTCTCTCTCTCTCTATTTCTCTCTCTCTCTCTCTCTTTCTCTCTCTCTCACACACACAAAGACTAGCGCATAGTCGACCGCTGTTCTTAAAAACAATTTCTACCTGCGTCTGTTATTGCAGTTTCACATTCTAATATTTAAAAAAATTATCATGGCAGAGATGGTATAAGATTGTGATACTGGCCTGAGTCTGACCACCAATACCATTGTTTGTTACTGTTGTATATACCTCGGAGTGTTATGAGTACCTTATATACAATATATATAACTATATATATATATTACTAATACAATTATTATTCTTAATCCAATTATTATAATTTTTTATATTTTTTTAGACACATTGTGATTTTTTTACCTAATTTCATTTTGGTCACATACATTTGTGTTATTATTTAACCAGTTATTATTTTTTATTTATTTTATTATCTGTCTTTTATTTTATAAAAGACATGCCATATGTTTTCGTTTTGGTTTGATTTATGCAAGTTACTTACAGGATTCATGTATTTTGATTTAAACCATTTATTAGGTCACAGCTCCTAATAGAATCACTGCCTAAATGTTATTTCAATTTTTAACCACACATTTGCTACTGGGCCAGTGTTCATTTTGGGCCCAAGTATAGTTGTACAGTCATAGCATAGCGCTTCCAATTTCAAATGAAATTTTTGTAATGGGAGTTTAATCTTGAGGAAAGTTATTTGTGCTTACTTTCCAGACAGAACCAAATGGAGATAGACAGAGATAGAGATCTGGTTGTATGGGTGTTAGCTAATAAGGATGTGTGTTGTGTCTAAACCTGAAGACTGACAGCCTGATGGATGAACAACAGGAAGGGGTGTGAAACCACATCTGATCCCACACACACACACACAAATATATGTTTGTGATCAGCTACACTCTCATTCACTAATGCACTTCCTTTAGAAACAGTAAATTATGAGGCCTTCATGGACTATTCTGTGTGTGTGTGTGTGTGTGTGTGTGTGTGTGTGTGTGTGTGTGTGTGCGCGCGCAGAAGGGATATCCTTTCATGGGATGATTACAGGCTTTTTTGATTCTGCACTGATCCTGCAAATTAGCACTCACAACCATCTCCACAACACCACTATAATGCTTATTGTGTGTGCAGAGCTATTTCCTTGACCAGTGTGAGAGAGTTTGGCGCTAGTTTGTATGTTAATGGCTTGCCATGTATGTATGTATGTATATATATAGTATGGGTAACGCTTTCAGAGTGACTGGTATCTGAGCATGTGTAAACGCAGAAATAGCTTATCAAATCGACCACTTCAAATTCAACCTGACTGTGGCGCGGGCCATTATATCAAGCAACTTCCCGTATACAGGGCTGGTGGAGGGTGTAGGCACAGTAATTTCACTGTCATGTCCTACTTCCACCACATCTAGCTAGATGCCGCCAACAATATGTCGCTCCCCATAGCGCCTAACCCTAACACCAAATCTGGACCAGCAGACAAAAACCCTGTGCGTGTGTAAGTGGTGCCGTTTTTCTCACCGTAAGTGTCCTAACCGTGCATGACGTCAGTTTCTAGCAACAAATAATTTGTCTGTCCACACTGAAAGCAAAAATGCCGAACAACACTACACGGTCTCAGCCAATCAGAAGATATTTGATGTTTAATGTATAATTATGAGGAATAGGATTTTGAACCAATGGCTGGTTAGGACAAAAAATGATTTAGATAACTTGAGCCTGAGGACACGATGCTTGGCTATAAACTGAGTACAATGAACGGAGTACGTACTTTTTTCCACAATATTTTTTTTACCTGGTTCCAAATTGTTTAGAGCCAGAGTGAGTACTAGGAAAGACTGAGTGATAGAAATAGAGGGTGATGAAATGTGGCATTTGGCTGCTGATGGACCCTTTTAAAGAATATCGATAGGGTCTGGACTGCTTTCGAGTGAAGCCTGTATCGATTTACACACCTAGAGTGGGAGGAGTCTTGATGGAAAGAGGAAGTGGGTGGCATTAGGGCTAATAAAAGATGTCCCATGGGATCAAACACTCCAGTTCCTTCAGAATTAGATAGCCAAAGCGGTAATGATTATGATAATAATTTAGGATCATTATCACTAAACCAACAGAAGAAATATCAAAGGCTTTTATTTTTAAAGAATGAGTTATCATGGTATCATGGCATCAATGTGGCATCATGGGGAATGATGTCATAATCTTTGCTAGAGCACTCATTTATGTTCATTTTTAAAATGTTAACATCACTCTCACTTACAGCAGACATAGTGCCCATTTATGACATTCTCTGGAAAAACTGCCCAATTTTCCTCTAATTCCATTAGAACTGCATTAGCTAATAGTTCACTTTGTTGTTTCCTCTACCACAGCTTCTCCAAGTGGTTTATCACTTTCGAGTTTAGCTTAACATGATGGTGTCTGAAGTTTTGAGAGCCAGTTTATTGATTTATTGCTGAATTGGGATTCATTTGAGGGTTTGTTAGAACAAAGCTCTCAGAAAACATGCCAGCTTGAGTTAAATCACATGAGACCTAGAGATGCTTCATATCTGTAAGTTACAATCATCGAATGGGATTTATCCAGTATATTTATGTTTGTAACAGCCAATATAATCCTGAATGAGCTAAACTGGACTGCGGCTCTGGATGAGGTCTTCAGGAAGAACAAGGAAGATGACCCGTCCCTCCTCTGGCAGGTGTTTGGCAGTGCAACTGGCCTGGCTCGATACTTCCCAGGTAGAGCACTGGAATGAATACGAATATTTACAGACATTCACCATAACACATAGACTATGGAAAGCACATTGACACTATATATGCAGCCATACAGTATGGTGCATTTACAGTTAACAAATACATTTCATAGCTGATAGTGCTTTGTGAGGGAGGCATTTGGAACAAAGCCATGGACTATTGAGCTAAGGGGCCGGTGAACAATGAGCGGGGCAAGAATACACGAACTGGACATAAAAAACAAGTGCACTGAACAATACATTTATTTAATTTGAAGGTTAAATAGTGATGAACCGTTCCTCTGTTAACCTCTTAGCTATCGTTTCTTTTTTCTTTAGGATCAAAATCATTTTAATTTATCGATTTTTTTTTTTTTTTATTAAATTATTAATAAATACTAAACCTAAATTTGAATTATTTAAATTAAATGTTAAGTAAAGTATATTACAATAAATAGTTAATATTAAATACTTTGGTTGTTCTTTCAAATCATTGGATTGATTGATTGATTGATTGATTGATTGATTGATTGATTGATTGATTGATTGATTGATTGATTGATTGATTGATTGATTGATTGATTGATTGATTGATTGGACTGACTGATTCACTGATTGACTGACTCACTCACTCACTGAGTCACTCACTCATTGATTGTTTGGTTAATTGATTATTGATTAATTGAACGACTAAACGATAATAATCCCAGTATCCCTTCTGCTATAGCTTCTCCTTGGGTTGACACAAAGAACACACCGAACAAGATCGACCTGTATGATGTACGCCGAAGGCCCTGGTGAGTAAATCTGTGGGGGTTTTTTTATCTTCATATGTGTCTGCAATAACAAGTGCTATTTTGTTCATTTTCTCTCTCAGTTGTTATGCCTGATGTTTTTTCTCCTGTTTGTGTTTGCAGGTATATCCAGGGTGCAGCTTCACCTAAAGACATGTTGATCCTGGTGGATGCGTGAGTGAAGTCTCTGTGATTTACTGTTACAGTTCATACACTCACTGACACAAAGCCACTGAGCTGAATCCTGATTCGGTTGTGCACTTTGAGTAATTGGTTTATCAGCATAATGTAATTTTTCATTGCGTGTGACAGATTCCACACTATCCACTTAAAGAGCTCATGTTAGTTCTGCATTAGAGTCATTTATCAACATTAGAGAGAGAGGCTGATTAAAGAATGACACAATGTGGCGCTGAGCCAATGCAAAGTGAGGGTAATAAACATGAAAAAAAAAATTGAGGTCTTTGGCATGCTGTTTAATAGAGTTGTTTTATTAAATTAAGCAGTTTATGAATATCAAACATTGAAGCAAAAAAAAAAAAAGAAATGCATTTTTGTTCCCATAATGCACCTATGGGTGCATTATGGGAACAAACTGTTATTCACAACTTATTCATTAAATTTTTGCATTCAAAATATAGAAGCACATTAGACTCATGCTTGGCATTAAGTCAGGTTACGGATATGATCCAGAAATATTCCAAATTCATCATAAGCAAGCATTTGAGATTAATGTGCTATTTTTTTTTTATCACATTTAATGTCTTTAGGTTAAGAGTGTAATTAGCCTCGTTGTATTAGAAAATATGGCCTTGTAGAGTTGTTTATTCTGTTATTGCTCAGCTATAATGATGATGGTGTTGTGCTGTCCGGGCATTGAGCCCATTAGTGTAGACCAGCTTTAGCCAGTCAATGTAGTTTAGCTAAATGACTAAACACTGAAGCCCACACACCTCCCATTAGAATCACAGAGTGATTATTAACCCATAAAAACCTGATCCAGCATGTCAGTTCTGGAGCCGTTAAAAGCCTAAATGTGATATTTCGGTTGCATTATCACTTTTTTTTCAGGTGTTATATAGTAATAAACATGTTCTAACTGTATTCTAACTATGGTGTGCTTCTCTGTAGGAGTGGAAGTGTGTCGGGCCTGACGTTGAAGCTCATTCGCACTTCCGTCAGTGAGATGCTGGAAACCCTCTCTGATGATGATTACGTCAACATTGTCTCTGTGAGTATACAGGAGATGTGTGTGTTTTGCTGAGAGTCTATTTGAATGATGAACTCCTCTGACGCTCCTCCAAAAAATCTAGATTCCTGCTGACTAGGAATAGAAAATATGAGGGAAACAGAGGCATCGAGCCGCCAAGCATCCATAACGCCATAGTTAATTTCAGTTAGGCACCGCTGAGGCGGCACGCCAAAGAATTATTAATGTTTCCCATCATCCCCTGCTTCAGACGCTGTGCAATTCATTTATGAAATGCATCGTTTATTTTATTTTGTGGTGTGAGACTACTGACAGCAATAGAAATCACAAACTCTGTGTTCTGCTTTCAAGTAAGTGAGTTGTTTTGGATATTTTCAATTAACTTTTTCCCTCTATTCCTTTAATAGCTTTGCGCTTGTATTTTATGGCCTGACTCCAGCTGTGTGACGTTAGCTTGACGCTAATGAAATTAGGCAACAGTGCTCTAAGTGTATTGCTGGCACTGAGCCATGGGACTTGTATAGAGGAACTGAACAAAGCCTGGAATCTGAATGATGTAAAATGATTTCATAACTGTCCTTGCATGTGTGCGAGTGAGATGTACTGTACCTCACAGTTTTCTTAGATTTTTACTGATAACTTGCCCACTAACCACAATGCTTTCATATGGTTTCAGTTCAACAATTCGGCCAAGTCGGTTGCCTGCTTTGAAAACCTGGTCCAAGCAAACGTCCGCAATAAGAAGATTCTGAAGGAGGCGGTGCAGAAGATCACTGCGAACGGCACCACTGACTATAAAATCGGCTTCAAGGAGGCGTTTGACCAGCTCTCCTCAGTAAGAATGAATAATGTAGCTTAAAATGTGTAAATCAAGAGACATTATGGGGCCAAAATATTACTCAGTTTCTACCCCTCAGAAGTAACATATTTACCGCCACAACGTATAGCCTACTATTTTGTCAATCACTCTTCTTTTGAAGTGGATTTTTATCATCTTAATAATAAATATGTGTGACCCACAAGTTGAATATAATGTATGGTGTATTTTGAGATATACAAAGATTACGTAGTTTTTTTTTTGCATTACAGAACTTCCTTCCAGATAACAAGTTCAATGTTTAAAGACAAGTTTTTAGTTTATTGCACCATCTTGTGGCCTGTGCTAGTTATAATCAACAAAACTCCACTAATAAAATGTTCACATTTTGATTTTATTAACAGCAGCTGTGAATATTAGAGGCTTCACAGTGGTTTACTGTCTCATTTTTCTTGGACTGTTATTGTTATGCTGTCCAGAAACTTTGCACTCGCAAATTGATTTGTTCCTTTTATAGATGAATGTTTCAAGAGCAAACTGTAATAAGATCATCATGCTATTCACTGACGGAGGGGAGGACAGAGCTTCAGAGATCTTTGAAGAGTACAACCCCCTCAAGAAGGTGAGGATCCACACACACACACACACACACACACACACACACACAGCTATATAAATTGGGGCACTCCATAGACTTCTAGTGTTTTGTGTACAGCGTGGTTATTATAGTTTTGCATTTTTAAATTAGTTTTTATGTTAATATCATTTAAAAATTTCCTATAAATTTCAGTTTAGTTTCATTAATGGTTTTGTTAGTTTTAGTTTAGTTTTTATTTTGTGAACACATTTGAATTTAGTTTTTATATATTTAGTTTCAGTTTTAGCTTCAGTAATTATAGTTTAGCAGAGTTAACAGAACACTTCCAGTTAAAGACATTTCATTTTAACTGCAGTTTACAGTTAACTTTTGTGAAAAACCTCTTAATAATAAAAATAAAATAATTGTTTGAGATTGAACAAAGAACCAAACAAATTGAACTAAAAAGTATTCATTCTTACTCATTTATATTAAAATGAAATCTTGTTAAACATGTGGCATATAAGAAAAATAAAAAATATGCGTATGATTATTGTGATTATTCTTTTATGGTTAATCCTTTCAAACATTATTCTTGTATTGATCCATTAATGCTTTTTTGTCTATTGCATCTTTTAAAATCATATACTTAGTTATACTCATATTCAAATGTTCTATTCAGACCAGGCATTTAGTTTACTTCTACTCTGACAAATGTACAACTATTTGTGGGCTAGAAATGCTATTTGTTGTTTCTGTTTTCTGCTCAGAGTGTTATCTTGTCTAATATGTGTGGTATCTTGTTTAGTTTCACATGAGATGGTTATCTTACCTGGAATTAAGGTACAGCTATATTTGCATAAAGTCTAGACATGACGGACATATTTATTTATAGGGGTGGTGATGGCACAGTGGATAAGACACATGCCTTTGGTGTGAGAGACCCGGGTTCAAATCCACTGTGAGACACCAATGTGTCCCTGAGCAAGACACTTAACCCCTTGTTGCTCCAGAGGCGTGCGACCTCTGACATATATAGCAATTGTAAGTCGCTTTGGATAAAAGCGTCAGCTAAATGAATAAATGTAAATTTATTTACCCATTTCTGCTTCTTAGTGCTGGTTCACAAAGAAAGCGGTTTTGCTTTGAAAAACGGAAACAAAGACCTGGGTAGTGGAACAATGATACAATGGGGAAAAAGCGCAAGGTCTCGAGATGCGTCTTTTAAAAGTTGAACTTATTTTAACTTGAATGTGCCGTGTTTTTAGAACGTCGTGTCATGACTCATGCACGAAACGATCGGTCATATATTGAAAAATAAAATAGCGCAGTGGAATGGAAAAAAGTGATTTCCCGGTACAGGATGAGTTTATTTATGAGTTTATTTATAAAATAATCAAAAAACATAAAATACATACTTTATGTAGAGTATATAATACAGATAAAACAAATCAAGAGACATAAAACATAGGAAAAATAAACGGTTTTGTTAATAGTCCCCAAAGTACAGCTAAGATGTACACGCATACACCTACTTTTCCACTATAATTATGTCAATAACCATTTGTGTCTCTCTTCTCTCAGGTTCGAATCTTCACCTTCTCTGTGGGCCAGCACAACTATGATAAGACACCAATTCAATGGATGGCTTGCAATAACAAAGGTAAAACACACAAAAATGTAATATGAAATTTGAGAGACTTTTTTTGCCTAAAATGTGTGTGTGTGTGTGTGTATATATATATATATATATATATATATATAGTCATGTATTAAGATGTTAAGATTTCCTGCAGGTTTTTATTATGAGATTCCATCCATTGGAGCCATCAGGATTAACACCCAGGTATATGACAGCATCACTCTTGTCTAGTGCATAAATGTGACTTCTACCCAGCATCATATTTCAATGTAACCAGACTACTTTACATACAGGAGTACCTGGATGTGTTGGGCAGACCCATGGTGAAAGAAGACAAGAAAGCAAAAAACGTGCAGTGGACCAACGTTTACGTGGATGCACTGGTACGTCAACTCTCTTATAGATTTGTATCAGTTGATTTGTTAAATGGTACTGATTCACAAGTACTACCGGTAAATGACTTTTGGTTGTGTTGCAGGAACTGGGCCTCGTGATTACAGGCACTCTGCCAGTGTTCAATAAAACCAGGAACAGTCGAGACAAGACTAAGGTACTATTTTGTGGCACATTCGTGTTCTCATTTAATTCATGTTTGTCTTTGTTAATTCATCTGTTTTCAAAAGTCCTGGTTATCAATTGCAGGGCCAGAGCCAGTTGATTCTGGGGGTGATGGCCATAGACGTGTCTCTGGACGACATCAAGAGACTGACTCCTCGTTTCACTGTAAGGCGTGAGAGCGTGTGGGCGCAATCTGCACTTCTTTATTTACGACTGATGGTTTGCAACATCGAAGAACTTGCACAACCATTGCATTGAACTGTAGCAGCAGGGTCATGCTCTGTGCTGCTGCATTCCTTGTGTTTACTAAATCTTGTTGGTTTTTTTAATGGCAAATACATTTAAATAGGTCATATCATGTGAAACAATTCTCCCAACTCTTTTGAAATAAAGGATAAATCTTAAATATTGACATACATACGCAACGAAAGCAAGGAAATCAGACCTTTTGTGCCTGAATTTGACCTTTTGTTTGAGTTAACAGTTAATGAAATTAGTGAATACATTTGTTTTTATGTAATAAATGGAAACAATGACTTTAAATTTTAGTCAATACTTATAACCCAATAGTTATCACATTGTTAATATTCAAGAAATATGTAAATGTTAATGTTTTTAAAATTATTTTAATGAAACTAAAATAGCTTAAGTACAATAATATATAATAATGAATAATAATAATATACAATAAGAACAAATGTAATTTAGCAGTCTTGGGCACAATAACAAAAACAGCCTATCAAATGCTTCATCGCTCTTGTCTTTTGTTTTATAAAGCTCGGGCCAAATGGATATTACTTCGCCATCGACCCCAACGGCTATGTGCTACTTCATCCCAACCTTCGGCCAAAGGTACGGCTCTCACTCATATTTATTTTTCTCTTCTTAGACAAACTTGCTGCCCATAATTATGTGTATGGTCAGTTGTGCATGGCTGAAGAACCTTCACTACAGGTTATGTTGAAATAATGCAGGCCACCCACATCCGCAGAGCTGCCCTTTGTAATGAATATCATTTGTGCAATCCAAACACAATCGTTCTGTTTAGTTCACAGATGAAACGACATTTATTCGAAACACGTGCATGACAATTAGTAAATGTTTAGTCAGTGATCCATGGGATTAGTGAACACTTGGGAACAAGGTAGGAATGTTGAGAGAAACGGTTCCTCATTAGGCACTTCTCCGAGGAAAAAGTGACTCATTGGTAAATATTTTTGCATACAAATATGGTGTGTTGACCAGTATTGATTTATGGTATTACTTTGAAAGTTGTTGTTGTTTGTCTGCAGGATCTCAAGTCTCAGGAACCCGTGACGTTGGACTTCCTGGATGCTGAACTAGAGGATGAAATGAAAGTAGAGGTGAGCGCAAACCTGTATGACGTTCTTTCTTCTGCAGGACAGAAAAGACGATATTTTTTGCCCATACATTGAAAGTCAGTGGACCCAACTGAATTGAATTGCATGAACAAAACAACAACAACCAAAAAAACTTCTTTTTTTCGGAATATCTTCTTAACATGAGTAAATAATAACAGAATCTTGTAATTTTTGGGTGAACTGTCCCAAAGTTTAAGCTCAAAAATCTGATATCAACAATCAGATTCAAAGCTGGTGTGATTTTGATTTTGTAACATCCCTTGTGCTCTGTTGTACAGCTGTTGAAGTCATAACAAAGTGATCGTCGAAGCATCAACAAACTGCAAAGTTAATTCTCAGTCCTGTGTGATTTCACAACAATATGTTGAATATAAAAATATCATTTTCTCACTTCACAGCCCAAATGACTTATTTTCTCACTTGAGAGTGACCACAGATTACAATAGTAAATGAAAGCAATGTCCTTTTTTTAGTTGTCGGCTTTTAAAGATGCAGTGACGTATTTACAGCAATCAGTGACACCTGTCTGTCTGACTTTCTGTCTGTCTTTAGATCAGAAGAAACATGATAGATGGTCTCAAGGGTCAAAAGGGATTCCACACACTTGTAAAGTCACAAGATGAGGTAATTGTGCATACTTTAAACAAGCAGTGCTTCTCAGCTGTTTTTTTTTCTTCAGAACCCAGATTTTACACACATGGAAACAACATAAAAATGGTTTCAAATTGTAACACTTGTACAAAAGCAAACAAAAACGGCCTTAAAATCAAATATTACATTTTTTTATTAGTTTAAAAAAATATCTCTGGTAGTAATTCACAGCACAAAACACATTGTTGTCAGTAAAAACCAAGTTTATCCTAGTCGTATTAATGTTAAATAGATTATATTTTTCTTTTAACAAATGACAGATGAAATTGCACTAAAATGGTTCAGAGTTTGACTGGCCACACATCCTTTCAACAACAAAAAGATATGGAAAGCATTTTCTCCTCCCTTTAAAATGTTTTTTTTGGTTTGCTACCGACCAGTTGAGAACCATTGGCTACAACATTAGTTATTTAGTAATAAAACAGGGATTAATGGTTCATTGAACCACTTTCATCGGTTCATTGTTTTATTCTCATTGCAGCGTTACATAGACAGGGGCACCAGAACCTACACTTGGGCTCCAGTCAATGAGACAGACTACAGGTCTGAGAATCTAAGTTCTTTGTTACATGTTTTTGTGTTGTGGAGGTGTGTTTGTGAACATATGAATTGCCACTAGAGGGCACTGTTCAAAGTCACAATGAACTGTATTCAACAGATATTTGACATTTTACTTCCAGAAGGACACAGATGAGAGAAAACAGTAATTTAGGCATAGGATGAGGATACAATCTCCTTCATTTGAGTTTGAATCTATAAATTGCAACGTCAGGAAGACTACTGCTTTTCATCATCATTTATTTTCTGTGTCTTCTCTCTGTAGTCTTGCTTTAGTTCTACCCGATTACAGTGTGAGCTACATCAAGGCCACTATTGGAGATACCATCACTCAAGCAAAATGTAAGTACCCACCGGACCTCACCTTTGTCAAACTCGGTGGAATGCCAATCTCTCGGCCTCAGAGATGAGAAGCCGTAGTGTGAGCTCCTGGTTTATATTCAGAGCTCGTGGTTCCTCAGTTGTGGTCTGTCTTCGAGAGCGCTTCGCCTGGCGGGGCGACGACCCCCTTAAAGGCAAAAGCAACTCACCCTGAGCATATTACACTGTTTTTCTTCCAGATGCACCTCTGTGCGTGTGTTTACCCTCTCGTCCTCTCTCATGTGGCTTTTGGGAGAGGAAAGCCAATCTCAAAGGCCCATCCATTGAGGAGAGCCCTCACAGTTCCTGTGCAATATTCTTATTCAAAGCTTCTGGGGTTGAATAAAATATTGTGAAACCCCTCATGTTTTTTCCTTTAATTTGCCTTCCCCAAACCCTTTTCATTCTCTCTCTCTCTGTGTTTTTCTCTCCATCTCTCCTCCTTTCCTCTTTTCCCTGTCTGTATATAGCTTGGAGTCCCTCAAATAATTCCGGCAAGTATTTTCCTTCTGTATTTCCTTCTCACTGTGTCCAGTGATACTCACTAGAGATCGGCCGATATTGTTTTTCGTCACGATATCCAGGCTCAGATGAAATCGCCTTTCACATTTTCTGAGCTGTTCATTGCCAATAAAGATTTGAATCCAAATTTAACCCATTTTATTGATTGTATGCACTTAGTCCAAGACACTCGAGTTAATGTAACTTTTTCAAATTTTAAGATTGGGGTCAGAAAGACCTTACATGCAAGTACGCTTTGGGGGGTATTCAAAAATACATACAGTGTCTTCGTTTTCTTCATTAAAATTCTTTTTTAAAGTGAAAAACAAAAAGTCAGGGTGATACAACTGTCCTGATATTAAAATGAGGAAAAAAATACGGGATGAAATTCTTTAAAAGAAAAATATACTAAATGGTTTGGAATACTTTTTACTGATAATATTATTATTTCTTTAAGAAAATCTGTGGTGCACTTTAGTTAAATATATATATATATATATATATATATATATATATATATATATATATATATATATATAAAGAGTACATTCCTGGGAATTTGGCACATGTTTTAAACTAGATTTTTGTTTTATTTTTCCTTATCGGTCTATCTCTAACCTGCTCTACACTTACAGTGTCTAAATCACAGTCACCATAGAAAATAATGCACAAACACGCATACGTCTGCTTTGCATGTGTAAATGTTTCCCAGCTGAGTAAAGCAGTTTAGATGTGTTCTCTCCTTGCAACTTCACTGTGTTTGTCAACAGTGTGAGTGTCATAAAGTGCAATGTGTATGTGTGAGAGCATCAGGAGATGTTTAGTGGATGTTTTCCTGGAGGTTTAGAAGGTGAAACCGCAGAAGACATGAGTGTGACTCTTTGTGCTCTGAACCGGGACTTTAATCTCCGCCCCTTCGCTCTCTGAATCATCTGGATGCTTTCAAAGCCTCATAAAGGGGCGGTCTAACAAAATACAGGCCTCACTCTTTAGGAAGCTTCTCCTCCGTATATGTGTGTTGGGTCCACGTGTTCATGTCCAGGTGCGGATGTGGTATGTGTGTGTCCCTTTTTAACTTTAACAGGACTGTGCAACTTCAAGGCTTCTAACGTTACTGTTCCGCAATAACAGTCTGTACTAATAACTCATCTGCCAGCCGTCCTCGACTTTTCCCTGTGACAGCACAAACTGTCATATTTCACCACTTTTTTGTCCTTTTATACATGATACCATCAGAGAGATTGAATAAGAAAAGTTTTATCAAATCAATTGAAAATACAGTGGCCTCAATAATTATTTGGACAGTTTAGCCACTCAAAATATATATAAAAAATAAATAAATCAAGCTTTTAAAGTGACTTGTAATTATTTTCTGCGTGAAATTTTACCCCCCTCCATCTGTCATCTCTCTTAGCTCATGTGAATGCATAATTCATTAACATTTCTTGTCATTCCCTTTACAATGAACAGAAAGCCTTAGATCAGAATGCAATATTTTTATTCAAGGCTTGGTCTGTGAATAAAATATTGGTGACCTTTGACCCCTGTGGTTTTACCCTATTTCTCTGCCTCTCTTTTCCTCCTCTCCTCGGTAAATCGCTCCCTCCTTTCCCTCTTTGCGGCATTTGACCCTTCAGAAGAAACTGGCAAGTACTGTTTTTCTCTCCCTTTTGTCTTTTCCTTCATGTTTGAACCCTCCGGATGTAATGTCTGACCTCTCTCATGTTTGAGTCCATCATCTGGTTTCAGAAAAAAACAAACATACTCAGAAACATAGTTTTATACATTAAAAAGCTATTTTTTACCAGTTTTAATGATGATCTTTTATGATGACTTTCACCATTTCTGTTTATTTCCTTGTATTTTATTTGATTATTTTCTGCTTATTTTGATCAAATGTAACAGGCTAACTTTCTGTCTCTGGACCACCCGTATGCGAGGTCGTGTGCCTGAACAGCAGGGTGTCACAGCAGATAACTGCTTTACTAGACAGAAGCTCAGAGACATATTTTTACAAGCTGTTGTTCAGCTTCCAGCTGACTGTAGAGTTGTGTTTCACTGTCAGGTCATTTTGAATGTACCTGTAAGTTCAAGGGTCTGTTTTTATTCCGTATATCTGTATTGTATTATTTTACCGCGCTGCAATGACAGAACTCATCGAAATGATCTTTGTTCTTACAGATTTTTGATATTTTCTTTCAGTTTCTGAAAGCCTGCAGGTGGACAAATTTGAAGAGTATGGATATACTTTAATAGCACCCAGGTAAGTTTCTTAAAGGGATAGTTCTGCGACTGACTGTTTACTTACCTTCATGTCATTCTCCAAAGGATTCTGAGAAATGTTCCTCTTCGTGTTTTAGAGATTACTGCACAGATCTGAAAGCTCAGAGTGACAACAACACACAATTTCTCATCGACTTCAATCAATACATTGACACAAAGACCCCCAACAACCCACTGTGTGAGTATCTTTCTGGTTCAAATCCAGAACTGAGCTGTAACGGGGAGTGTGGTGGTACCATAGCTTGAAGGCCAGGGATTCAGACCGCTAGTTCAAAGTTCATTGGGGCTGCTCAGGGGTCATAATCTACATTAAAACATGTAGGTCTTTTGAACGACCAACTTTAATTAAAAGCTACTATTAGCTATTAGCTAATAAATGTATATATTTCAACTATTTTTATTTCACTCATTTTGTTTCATAATTCAAACATGTTGCACTTTATAATAGTATTTTTTAAAATACTATAGTATTAAAAAATATCATATTATATTACTAAATAATACCATTACATATTTAATACTTTTTTTATTTATTTGTAGATATAGTTTTTATCAGTATTATAAATATTATTACTTAATTTTTCAATTACGCATTTTATTTATTACAGATATTTTATTCACAATCAAACTACTTTGGTTTAAAAACGTGACATCCAAAGCTGTTCTCTTCTCATACACCTTTTCTTGATTAAATTCGAGGTTTTGTGTGTTTCAGTTTCAGTCTAATTATATGTATTGTTCTCTTGTTGACCGTGTTAATGCTAAGTAAACCTCCTCCCTTTGCCCCCACACACAGACACCCTCCTCCCCTCACCCTTCTCCCCACAGGCCGCTTTGATCTCACCAGGATCTGTTGGTGCTGCGGTAATCACTTGGTTTGGTGCACATGTGTTGAATGTGTAGGTTTGGCTGTAATACTTTATACCTACGAGCCCACCCCCTAATTCGGCACCAATTACCCTGTGTGAAAGAGGAAAAGCAGGACATGTCACAGAAAAAGAGAGAGAGAGGATGTGTGCTGGTACATTGGTAGGGTCAAGGACATTAACTTAACTTAACTACCTAACTTGAATATTTAGATTTATAATATATGAATGTTTATTAGTGCTCCAGAAGTTGATCTCTATTTCAGATGAAGAAATACAACAGAACAAAAATTCACTCACATTCACCAACAGACAATGATTCTGACTTAATGTTGTTGTCTGGTTTTCTTTCTTTTTTTTTCGGTCAAAGAATGAAACTTCCTCATGAGCACAGACAATAAAATGTTGTAACCGGCAAAACATAGCACTGTAAATGCTCAATTTTGGGGCTATTTGTCACAGAGGCCTGGTATTTTAAGTCCACGATTTCCTCGCTGTCAAACACAGGCGGATCAGTTGAATTGTGTTCTTGCGCTGCTCTCAATCAGGTCCTAATGAAAAGCATGCGGCGTGCAAAGGGGGGCGGAATAAAGTTGTACACCAGCTGCTCTTTCTGAAGTGTGTGTGTGTTTTGTCGTAAAGACTTTGCGGTAATGAACTGCAGTGCGATGTTATAAAACACTTTAATGTTCTGAAGGTACCCACACCAAAAAAAACTGAAAAACCTTTGAACACTTACTGCCGTTTCATACCGCCGAAGAATACAATCGTGTTTCACGTCTCGGAAAATTAATCTGCGTGTTACTTTCCCGACGCGTCTGACCGCCTCGTTTTTGCATCGCTGTCTCGCTCTCTTTTTATGAAGTTCTACTTCTTTATGACTTTGGCATCGGTTGCCTCAAAGGTCAGAATGTGGAGCCTGTTCTTACTCATGACCAACAGGTGTTTATGCATTTATCAAGTCAAAGGTGAAGCTTATAATGACGTAAAGCTTTGTTTTGTGCCTATTGATCCTCCGTTAGGTTTTGCTCCTGTAGTTTGAGGGTCATTTTGATACTCGGGCGATGGACGATGGGCGAAGGAATGGCGATATGTCAACTAAGGCCTTTTTATTTGTGTACTGTTCCTCAGGTGATATGGACCTAATAAATAGGATGCTGCTGGACGCTGGCATCACCGCTGAACTGGCCAAACACTGGAGCGAACAAGGACTGTGAGTTGCACCAAATTATAAAAAATGCAAAAAACAAGGCCACGTTCATTTTACCTAAACTTAGGATAGAGACATTTCCGTCATCATTTACTCTCCTGATGTTGTTCCAAACCTGTATGACCTTCTATTGTTTTTTTTTTTTTGTGGAAAACAAAAGGTTTTGAACTATGTTCACGCTGCTCTTTTTCATACAGTGAAAGCATATAGTGATCAGGGGCTGTCAAGTTTCAAAATGGACAAAAGAGCATCATAAAAAGTCTTTTTTGGTGCTATTTTGTCCTTTTAGGAGTTTGTGCACTGTATGCATTTACTGTATGGAAAAGAGCAGCATGAACATTCTGCTAAGCATCTCCGTTTGTGTTCCACAGAGAGAAAGAAAGTCACATGAGAAGAATTAATTTTTTCTGTCAAGTTCATATATTTAAACACTGATTGGCATGAGTACGTTTCTTTCAGTCTAATTTATTTTTGTGATTGTCAGGAATGACAGAATCAAGGCTAAGTTTGTGGCGACAGATGGCGGTGTCACTAGAGTCTATCCTGCGAGGTATATCTGTTATATTTTTTATGTTTAAGAATAGCAGGCCGGTCCATAGGACTAAAATTGCCCCTGTGTGTGTGTGTGTGTGTGTGTGTTTCGCAGTGCTGGTCCAGAATGGACAGAAGAGGCAGAAACGTATGAGTCCAGTTTCTACAAGAGAAGTCTAGACAATGATGTTTATATATTTACATCATACGCAATCAATAGTAAGTATGTGTTTGTGATGATTATACAGGCATATACCACTTTTCCTATGGATTAATGGACATTTTCTGTCCTCTCTTTATCAGAAACTCACGATTCAATTTTAGCAAGCAGAGCGATGGACCTGAGAATTGATGAATTCATGCTGAAACCAGCAGGTGAGAGTCTGACTTTCAGTAATTACCATAGGGATATACTGTAGATAGCCAGTGGTTTAGAAAGATACAACAAAGTATGTAGTGATAAACCAACATAAAAGCCTTGTCAAGTAATCTGACAATATTTTAAATATATATAATATATATAAAAACTCGTTGGCCATTGGCCATCTTGCTCCCTAGATATTGGCATCAACATTATCAGTAGAGCTAATAATATATTAATAATTGATTACTAGTAATAATCGGATGAATCTTTATGGTTTGAATTGTTGTTTATTTAAGAATGTGAACTGATGCAAAATTTAAAACTACCGGTAAACTAATTTTTGTTATATGTTTCAGTTGTCGGTGTAAAACTGGATATACAGACCTGGATGGAAAGCTTCATGAACACTACAATTACGCCTAAAGTGAGTGCAAAGAGTTAACTACCTGTATTTCTGTTAACTGTAGTGCAAGTTAGAAGGATGATTGGAAATATTGCCATTTTGATTTATCCTGGTGTCAGTTTGGCATTTGCATAAATTAGGGATGCACTGATAGTAAAATTCTCTCTGATACTGATAAGTACATAAATGGCAGATTTTTTTATATTTTTTTTGCTATTTTGTCTAAATAAATTAGACAAACATTTAAACTAAAATCAACCTTCTAAATGCTATAGGTGAACTTAGACATCACAACAATAAAATGTTCAGTGTAAAATTGTAAAATTAATTTTAAGATTTGCATTTACATTTAACAGTGATAATAACAGTGTTATTATGTGTTATTTATCTAAACGTAGATGTGAAAAAGAACATGCACAATTAAATATCCAATATGAGCCACTATGTCCAATGTCTACCAATAAATAAATAAAATCTCGAATATTGACTGATAACCGATATTGTATTTATACTTTTGTGCAACTCAATTTGTCTATTTGTAAATCTTCCTGCACAGTGTGTTGGTGAAATCTGTGGGTGCAGGAGAAATGATGCGGTAAGATCATATTTATTTGTTAGATCTGAAGAGATGATATTATCTATATTATATGCAATACCGTTTGACATTGGTTGGATCAAAAATACAGTGCAAAACAGTAATGTGAGATATTGTTACAATTTAAAACAACTGTTTTCTGTTTTAATATGTTTTAAAGTGTCGTTTATTCCTGTGATTTCCTGTGCGTTTACTCCAGTCTTCAGTGTCACATGATCCTTCAGAAATCATTCTAATATGCTGATTTGCTGCTCAAGAAACATTTCTTATTATTATCAGTGTTGTGCAGCTTAATATTTTTGTGGAAACTTTTTTCAGGATTCTTTAGTGATTTTTGTGTAATAATATAAATGTCTCTTTTGATCAAGTGAATACACTGTTGCACAATAAAAGTATTAATTTCTTTAAAAAAAAAAGAAACTTGACTCCAATCTTTTGAAAATTAATGTATATAACTCTAAAACTGTGTTTTTCTTTTCTCACAAAGTATCTGGACTGTGTACTTCTGGACGATGGAGGCTTCCTTGTCATGGCCAATCAGGACGAGCACATGAGTATGGTGGGCCTCTCTCTCTTACCCAATCAGAACTTCTCCAATTTTGCTTCCATTCCACATTCCCCTTCTTTGACCCCTGGAGAGCACCCACCCAACCCCACCTGCACCCCGCCGGCAACAGCAGTAGAGTAAATGTTTAAAGTTCGGCTCAGTGAGGGAAACCAATCAGAGCAAAGTGTGTGCGGGATAAATCACGGCCGGAGTGTTTGGCAGCAGGACTGAAGCCAAGGGGACCGATTGTGCCCTAAATCCCGTCTCCTCCCCTCCGTGTGGGCAGACTCTCCAGGGGTCGGCTAGGACCGCACATTCATTACGGCTGTTATTGCACGGGGAGCGGCGGCCGTTCTGTACACTCTAGGATTTATATCACCTTTGGACTGACTTATAGTCTCGGACGAACGCGCTCTTACATTTTTACGTCTAATACGAAGCTGGAAGCTAAGCTGTGTGTGTTCGTAACAGTAACCAGAACGGGGGCGTGTTTTTTTGTTTTTTTATTCCTCACACACTCGCGGTCGTTATCACACCTCAGAGATTTTCTGGGCTCTCAGACAACTCTTTCTATGGTTTAAATGATGGTAATGATGTAGGTTTTCCTAATAAGATTAGAAGAGATCCTATCGGCCCCACGAGTACGGTGGGCTACACACTCTTTAAACACACAGCATGTAGTTCACAGCGTGAACTAATTCTACAGATAAGTACAGACAGACATCTTCATCCCCATAGTGACACATGCCTGATGCCATCTATTAAACTATAGGACAATGTTGTGAAATGATGACTTTGCTAAGGCAGAATTATTCACTATTGAACACATTCTGCAGAATTTTCCCAACAAGCAGTGTGGAAAACATGAAAAAAGTGGACACATACCATCTGCCTCCATGATTTATTTTATTTTACCTTACCTTACCTTTCCTTAAATTGCCTTATCTTACCAAACCAAACCAAACAATAAGCTTCACTGACAAAGAATCAGATTCAGAAAGCCGCACTTTGTCCTGCAGAAAACTGCTAATAGTTGACGACTCACTCTTCAGGAGCAGATGTATGTGTGTATTCAGAGCTTGATTCCTTGGACTGTTTGTAGCTCATCTCAGGACATCTGCAGAGCAAATGGCGAATAAACAAACATTTCATTGTGGGTTTAAATGATGTTAACTGAAAACGAAAATAGGCTTTGTATACTTTATCAGTGGTACATCTTCAAAGTCTGTGACTGTTTCTTTTTAAAATGAAGATTCACGAGGGGCATGCAATTGTCCCCAGAAATAAGATAAATCTGATAAAACCTTCCTTTGGAGATGTCCCGGAGATATCTCCAATTAGAAAAAGGATTCAACGATTTGTTATGTGCGGTCACGTTTGCCGCTGTTCGGCAAATTTTGTGGACAAAATCCAGTAATTTCAATAGGAATTCACACGATTGGGAATTCCGCGTAAGGGCGAAAGATTTCCCCACACACGATTTTTGCAAAAGGTTCGAGGTGGTCACGCAGTGTTGACTAATAAAAGGCTGCTTGATTTGAAAGTGAGTGTGTGCTTGGCAATGCTACACTTTTGGTAATAAACAATGGAACTTTTTGCCAGCAAAATTGTCCGAAATGTCGTTAATGTGGCCGCAGCTTTACTCTTTAGTAATTATAATTATCCCTGAAAAAAAAAACCCCACAGAAGTCTATGGTACAGTTATGACCCCTATTTTTAAGTAAATTTGTGCATTTTCTGTGTTTTCAGATCGGAACGTTTTTCGGGATGATTGACCCCAGCCTAATGAGAAATATGATGAATGTCTCCCTCTACTCACTCAACAAAACCTATGACTACCAGGCCCTCTGTGAACCCACCAGAGAATCTAAAGCTGCCGCTGGTCTCAGATCAGTCTACGTGGTGAGTTTCATTCTTCTTTGAATTCATTTCAGTTCCTCATGACCAAAAATAAAGTCAGTTTGTAAACCCAAACAAAAATGTGTTTACAGCAATTCACTCACAATGAAAGTCTATCCCGTAGTGGTTTGCGTGTTGTCTTAAAACGGTTTTGGCCAAGTTATCACTTGTAAATAAGGATTTGGTTATGTAGCACATTTTCCTCTGAATATAAAGTTTAGTCATGCGGTTAGGTTAGTGGACTTCATGTTATTGTTCCATATCACACTGATAAGTTAGCCTCACGATACTCTCTCTGATCTGTGTGACTTGAACGATTACGACCTTGTCTTACATGGTGACTAAGTCTCTCAAAACACGCAGAGTCAACCATGAATCATCACAAAGAGACACTTCCTCTCTCATGCTAATCAGAGCAGCGTGTGCGGCAGCTAATCGTCCCCTGAGCACATTCGTTTAGCCTTGTTTGTGGATTTATGCTTGCATCTGCTGAGCTTTCGTCTAATATCTCCCGTATTGTTTGGCACGGGGTCCTTTCTATCTGGCAGGGTCGTAATAGGGGCCCCTGCCAATAAAATCAGGATGTTTTGGTGCTTCTCAGCTCCGGATATGCAACTTGCAAAGTTAGACAAGAATGTCTGAGAGAATGAGAGTTTAAGGTGCCAACATCCCAGAGTTTATGCTGCGAGACTCGGCTAATCTATTGATTTTATTCGGGATGGTATGCCACAAGGACATTTTAGGTGCCCCCGGAGTTATTGTGTAGGTTTAATAACATGTTGTTTGTCCCTTTTAGCCCACCATAGCCGACATCCTGAACATTGGTTGGTGGGCTTCTGCAGCAGCCTGGTGAGTGAAGAAGTGTTTTTGAAATGTTGCCCTAATTAACTTTCTTAGTTCATACAAAAACGAAATTCTGTTATCATTTACTAACCCTCATATTACCTTCCATTTGTGGAAAAAGAAGATCTCTCCTTTTATGTTTTGTAGTGTTGCGAAGTTTAGAAAATGTTTTTAGAGCACATAATAACCAATTGCCTAGAAATATCCAAGAGCTTTTTCAACTGCTTTTTCAACCGTTTAGAAACAAAATTTATGAGATAGTTGTTGTCAGATTTCATTGGTGATTTCAAATATGAAATTTAATCGTAAACTTGGCGAACAGTTTTGGAGAATTTGATGTTTCCCCATTCAAATTAGTAGCTCCACTTCCATGCCCGAGAGGCGTTTCAAAGATGGCCGCCGAGTGAAATGACTTGTCTTAAGGGGACTTTGCTATTATTTAGACAAAAGCAGTTGAAACATTTCTTAGCAGAATCAATATTTCTTTTTTTCTTTTTTTTTCAGGTCAATATTGCAGCAGTTGTTTGTCAGCATCACATTTCCTAATTTCCTTGAGGCAGGTAAGAGCCTGACATTAGTAATTAAATGCTGTGAAACAATGATTAAGCCATTGCAATTTGGCAGTTGGCCTGTTTGTATTATCCTCTGGTTTACTGCCAAAACTACAAATGCTAATGAATGCTAACGATGAAATTGTGTGCAAAGCGTGACCACATATTTATTAGACTGTTTCAGAATGTCAAAATACAATAAATGTAATGGGAAGCATGGTGTAAATTTTGACTGCATTCTGTGTACTTTGGGAAATTTGTATTATTATTTTTTTATTGGCTCACTGACACTTCAGCAGGGGTTATTTAGGCACTGAATCAACATTAATTCAAAGGAACACTGAAAGTATTGTAGCTCACTGTAATTGAATTGCGACTGTGTTTTGTTCGCAGTGGAACAAGATGATGGCCTGTCTGAAATACCACATAAAGAGAGTTGCATTAAAGAGCAGACGCAGTATTTCTTTGAGAACAACGAGACAACTTTTAAGGGGACTGTTGAGTGTCTAAACTGCTCTAGGTAAGAAATGGTGACCATTTTGAAAAATTGAACTTAATCATGGAGGGAAAATTGAACAAAAGCATTTCATTATTCAATGAAATGTTAATAAGTATAATATTATGCAACAAAAACCTTTTTTTCTTATTTTTTTCATTCCTCCTGACATGTACATGCATTCTCCTACAAACAAAGCAAATTATCTTCATTTGGGAGCATTTTTCAAACAATATTGATTGAATACTAAATAAATAAATGAAATATTTATGTAGATGGCATATCGTATAACGATAAATAAATTCAATAGAATATTTTATTATGTAATTATATCATGTTTTTAATTGATTGGAGGCCCAATTCTTAATGATCAAAGTGTTTTTTATCACAGGTGAATTGTGCCCATTAGGTTGTTTATATATATATTTTTTTTTTTTCAGGCAGTTCATAGCTGAAAAGCTTCCGAAGACAAATCTGGTGCTTATTGTTGCTGACACACAGATGAGTTGCCAGATATGTGATGAAAATCCATTCTCCCAGGAAGAAAAGCCTTGTATCCTTCATACACATACAAACAAACTTACCATTTGGTTTTGAAACACACAATGATGATGATAACTCATTAGGTCACTGTCAGTGTTGGGAAGGAAGTTAAGAAACTAACTAGAAAGTAGCTTTTCCAGTAACTCTTTGTGTCTAATTCATTTTAGTTAATCGCTTCATCCCAACAGCTGATTTCAGTGAACTGGGAAAATGGTTGACCAATCATTACCCAACATGTTTATCTCATCAAATGCCTTATTTTACTTGGAAATACTTATTATATCAAGGTCAAATGGTTTGTGAAGTTTTATTTGGAGTTTAAATAATGGGACGCTTGTATTCTGGTGTCTCCATCAGGCTACATTGCTAGCTAAACTAGCAAGACTTAGAGTTGTACCAGTAAAAAAAAAAACCAGCTAGACCACCAATACCAGACCTGCATAAAAACCAGGATGGACCAGCCTTTATAAACTGTTTTTATTTTCAGCAGGGGTGTCTTAAATCCATTTTGGTGAATTGGTGACTTATTCGAATGAATTCGTATGATCTGCTTATGTCCCATTGACATTTAGTTTTAGGGGTGGAGTTGAATCTCATCTCACTTAGAATATTAGCATGTTATTTTTCCTGAACTTGGGCTCACAGCTCCGGGTCCAGATCCCTGCAAGTTAGCCCAGAACCCACGGTATCGGAAAGGTCCGAAAGAGTGCTTTGACAACAACTTTGATGTAAGTCACCCAAACACCTTCTTCCGGCAAGATCCTACAACAGATTGAGACCAAACTAGCGTTCAGCACGACTTGATGTGCATTATGTCTGGATCTCACATGTCCCCTATTCTTCTAAAATGGCTTGTTTTACCTGCTCTCATTTCAGTCATTACCTGATATCTACCACACTGAGACACTGCATGATAATTTTTGAGATATAATGTAAATCAACTTTGATTAGTCTCTGTGTGATAGATCTAGGAGAGCTTGTCTTTGTTTGACATGTTGTAATCTCACAAGAACGTACATTTCATGGCCTAAAGAATGTGGACACCCACTTTTCTGGTTTGGGTGTTTAAGATGGGTGACTAACAGGTCAAGCGTATAGTTATGCTTTTTTTTTAAGAAACGAAGAGTCTAGTGTGGAAGACCTGCACAAAACCAAGACATGAACCCCACCGAACACTTTATCCCATGATATTGAATCTAAACGTTTAGCAAGTACATGTGGGGTGTTCAGGTGTCCACATACTTTTGAGCAAGTAGTGCATCTTTATCTAAACACACACTTCCTGCTCTGGATTCTGTCTATGTCCTTACAGTATTAACGCTTCAAGCACTTCTTCGTGTGTTGCCTAAACTTCTGACTGTCAAACTTTTTTCTGCATGACTCTTCCTCTCTTTCTCTCTCTCCTGCTGTGTATTTGGCTGTATAATATATGTTAGGATGAGGCCATGTGTAGGAGAAATGCAGGCTCTCCTCTGCTCTCCTCTCTGCTCATGTTACTGCTGCCAGTGTTCATGTGCTGTCTCGGGTCAGTCCATCTCTCTATCTCTCTTTCTCTCTCACTCTCTCTCTCTCCTGCATTATTTATTTGTTTATTTATTCTCTGCCAACTGAGAAGTACATTCAGTTTTGCATCGTACAGTATCTCATTTTACTCACAAAGTTTCCACAATCTATTTCAAACAGCAGTGGTTTAGCTCTGCACCTTGAGTACCATGAGTACTTAAATAGTAAATTTAATTTCATCTTTCTTTTCAGAACAAAGACATCTTTCTGTGCAAATTTGATGCGTTACGTGAATCCGCTGCTAAAACAGATCAGGCATTTTGTCGAATAAATAAGGCTATCAGCCGGCACACTTCTGTCTTTTCATCTTTATGACACTTTCTTGCCTCGCTCATTATTGTTATTATTATTATTATTATTTTTCAGACTAATTCAGATTAATATCTCTTTCTTTCATGCATTTATTTTTGCACGGGTCAAACTAATTAGCTTAGCTGTTGCTTCTTGCATCTTCTTAAACTGCTAATGTAACTCATTCTTGACTAATTCAACACCTCTTCATTCGTAGGAATAAATTATCATCAACATATTACAGCATATTTAATAATTGTACTTATCCGAAAGTATAGGGTAATTGTGACAGAAAGTATAGATTAATTGTGACTGTTACAATTACCGTAATTACGAGATGACTTCTTTTAATTAAAAGTAATCATATTTGTATTAATATTTTTAGTGCTGTCAAATCGATTAATATATATATATAAACACACAGACACGCACACACACAATTATAATATACCTAAATATAATAATATATATACACATTATGTAAACAAACTTTTATGTTAGATGATTTGACAGCACTAATGTTTATACTGTATATATTGCTATAAACTTTTAATATATTGCATATTCTCTATGGAGATAATTCTTAATTCAATGGGACTTTTACTTTCGGAACCCCAATTTATTACAAGTTTGACATAAAAAAGGTTTTTCTTCTCTTCATTACGGTAATTCCTACACAATCATCCCATTAATTCCCTACCAGACTTATTGGCTTTCTCTTGTCGGCATGATAACAGGAGCAGAATGAGGAATGTGGGGCATCAGGTCTGACTCCATCTATCGTGTCCGTGGTCATCCTCCAGTTGCTGCTGCTCTGGCTTCTTATTGGACGAGGACAGTGTCTCTCGTGACCTCAGCACAGAGACACCACACCCCTCTACGATGCCAAAACACATACCACATAACATATGAACGTTCATCCGGACTCCCACGCCACAGCCCAGCACATGGAGGGAGAGGCTCTGACCCAGGAAGTACAAAACCGAAGCCATGATCATTCACAGCCCTTGAGGTCAAAGTAGGTCGGAGATGATAAATGAGCAACGACCTTTAACATTTGACCTCTGAGGTCGGACTCTCTCCACATGAGCGACGGGGTGGGCAGACCTTGACACTTCGTCTTCACTTTGCCCATGGAGAAGAACTACGTCCCAGCGTAATAACGAAAAAATGATCCAATCACAACACTGCCAACCAAAGTTTCACCCTTTACCAGTGTGATGCCTTTATTAACCTATTTGTCCTTCAACATATTTACAGCGACTAGTTCCTCAGTATTACAAACCGTTTATATGTGACTTTTATGGCCTCGTCACGTTTGCCCTGCTGAGATATTTAATGGACCCCTCAGGGTCGGGTCAGAATCCAACCTTGTTTGTGGTCTGCAGCCCATTACTGGAAAAAAGGACAAATGAGCAAGTGACCCAATAGCAAAAGTCTCTTGTTTTCCCCAGTGGTGTCCACCTCTGTGCCTCGGGAATATCGATTTCATTTCCGACCGCTGTGTGAGAACAATCCCTCCCTCCATTTGCCCGTATTCGATATCACAGGGTGATTTTTATCCGCCCATAGTGCATTCAAACGTGCACTGCTGCCAAATTTTACCCGGTGTGTGTGGTCTTGCTGTACTTTGCACTTGATGCCAAGCAGGTCGTGTGGCCAAACTGCCCTGTCATTTTTATTTAGGGCTTTTTAAACAACTGCCAATTCGTACCGACCTAAAAGCTAGCTCGCAAAGTTATGTGTCCTGGTTGTGAATATGAAGAAGAAGAAAAAAAATGCTGTTGCATGTGTGTGTTTTGTTTTTTGGTGCATTACCTGTTTATTTTAGATCTTTTAAGTTATTTAAAGATTTGCTGTATGTTTAATGTTAATTTTTCTGTTCTATAATTAATGTATGTGTGTGGATATGCAGAAGGGTGAAAAGGCATTTATGGCAGTTGCTCTTTCCCACACTTTAATATCATCTGGAGAACTCGAAAAGGTGGAAAGAAAATCATCTAATGTTTACAGTTATTTTGAGACACTCGAGTTTTTATGAGAAATGTTGCCCCTGGTTGAGCTGTCTTTCGGGTCTCTGATGTGTCATGTTTCACTTTAATGTCAGAGGCAGAGCTCTGTCAGCCTTTCTTTCCTGTCAACGTGCCTTGATGTAAATGGATACATATAAAAATAAGTGAAGGAATATCACATGTGCGATCTGACCCTGGTTGCTCTGCAGAGAAATGCATAATATCGTCATTCTGATCTGACAAATGAAACTTCCGTCCCTTTAAGAGATCCTGGCTGAATCTTTGTGCCTCAATGAAATCTGGTCACGAATCCAAAAAAATGTATGGAATAATTAAGATTTTGAGAAGAGACAAGGATAATTATGGAAGCCTGTGAAAAGAAAAGCAAGTCGAATTATGATTTTTTTCTTTTTTTTTCTATTTAAGCATTTACCGGTATTAATTTATTTTTTGAAAAGGAGGGATGCCTGGTGCTTAGCCAATATTCAATTTATTCAATATTGTATTGATTATGAAATGTATTAGAAATGCTCAATTACGAGCGGACACGTGATTTCTGAGAGTTATTAATGGCCACTGAACCGTATTTGCATTGTTTTTGGCTTAGTGTAAACATGTACAAAGTTATTTAGGTCTCAATCAGCAGATTACCATCATTATGTTCTATCTTAGCTTAGAAAAACAGGAAATTAAAAGACACGGAGCCACAGAACATCCAAATCTGGGATGGAAAGTGAATTCCAGTGAGCAATGCCACTAGCTGTTACTTTACGCATAATTTCCTCTGTACACGGGAAACGTCTTTGTTAATGCACCTGAAAACAACATGATTGTGGAGTTGGCTTGCGTTGAAAAGCCATTCTTCTCAAAATCTTTCCGTGATTCATCACTTCACTGTAATCAGACAAGCATTCTAGAAGTGAAGTGTATTAAATCAATGTATTCCATACCATAAACATCAAAGTTAATTGGCTGTCAAAATGAGAAATGATTGAAAACATCTCCAGCTCCAGACCATTAACTCAACCCAGCTAAACTACTGTAATCCTGTTTATCTATACTAAGTATAATGTAGGCCTACTAAAATACATGTTTTTCACTTCCTCGTACTTAAAAGTGCCATAGAACTCTGTTTTTCCCGACCTATTTGTCTTCAAAAAAACAGGAAAGCAACCAGTGAGGGTATTCAAACCTTTAATATATGAATATCTCTTCATTTATGCCCTCTGTTTAGTTGGCATGTATTGCACTGGAAGTGAAAAATCCAGTCATTTCGATAGGAGATTTCACATGAGGGTGAAAAAGTTCCCCGTGCAGGTTCCGCTCCTATTCAAGTTAGTCACGCAAATTCAGCGCATTCACCAACGGAAAGCTGCTTGGTTTGAAAGTGACGTCTGTGTGAGCTGCGCTTCATAAATCGCTACACTATTGAAGATAGACAAAGGGCCCTTTTTTTTTTTGCTAATGTGACCGCACCTTAACTTTCACTGCCTTTTTTCTTGGGGCGACAGCTGCTGAACCGAGACGTATCCCAATCTTGACGGTCCAAGCTAACCTTAACCTGAAATGTCAAAACTGATTTGGGACCAGTATTTGAAAGAATTAAGGGTCTCCAGCTTCTGACAGAAATTGTTTACAGGATACCTTAATAGAGGTGAAAGTGTTTTCTAGGATATCAAAAAGACAGATGTTCAGTGGAAATATGAGATCAATTCATATTATTCCTTCGAAAATACAAAATTAGATATAGCAACTTTTGTTCTTCAGTCAAACTGGGATGAAAAAAGCCGCCCTGTTTAACGTCCAGTTCAGATGCTGTCACCTCAGGAACAGAATATTTTCAAAATGTGGCTTTTTTGAAGCTGGCGTTTCGGTTCTCTGTGGATCTGGACTGTGTGGGTTTTGATCTCTGGAATAGTCTGCTGGTGTGAAGCGTGTTTTGAGTGGTCAGTCAGATCCTGCTGCCTCCACTTGCCTCTTGGCTGACCGTCAGTCTGCCTCAGTCAGGGTTTAGGAGGACTTATCTGTGGGCTTATTTTCAGTCCCCCTCAATTGTACTTTCATCCAGTGGTTCCCATCTGGTTTTGCTTCAGGAGCCAGAATTTAAGTGCCGACCCAAACAATATCAAACGTAACCTGTATTTAATGCAATCTGGGTTGTATTTTCTTTTACTACGCATATAGTTTCGTTTATGGTGATTGAGGATTTTGACTGATTTCAAGTAACCATGTTGTCATCTGCCTGATTTGGCTAAATTGTTTCTATCAAAAGACAACTGAAATTACGCCAAGGCTTTTGACGTCAACTAAAAAAAGATATAGGAAGCGTTTTCTCCTTCCTTTTAAAAAGTTTATATTTGTTTTGCTACTAATTTGAGACCTTAGTTGGGCTAGACAGCATGTTTCATTGTAAGTTTTAGTTGTTGTGTGCGCGCACTGGAAATATTTGGATAGACATATTTTCAATGCTTTTTGGATGAACGATCGACACTAAGGTATACAGGTATGCCCTCGCATCATTGTTTTTCTTCGCATAGAATTGAATATGGCATTGATCCTAAGTTTGGTACATTATTATATGCTTAATTGCATTTTATTAATTGATTCCGTGTCCTGCGGCCCGTCAGTTGAGAACCACTGATTTAATGCGTAACACTCTTGTGAATCTTGATTCACCGGAGTCAACCAGTGTGTATATTTGTAAAAAAAAAAAAAAAGAATAAAAAAAAGTAAAAATACAATTCTCTACAACAAAAATCCCACTGTTTATAACCCTCATGTTCAAGTATACTCAGAATAAAAACGTTGCCACCAATGGAAGAGGTGCTGTGTCCTTTGCCTTGACTGCTTTGACCGTGACAGATTTCTGTTTTTCTTCTTTTCCAAAATCACTTCTACTTGTATTTGTCCTGGGGCCAAAACATTTTTCCCCATGTATGTCAGAGGGAAGTTGAAGTCTGCAGTTTCTCTGCTCTCATGTGACATTCTTCTGTCATCGGCGAGGACTCGGACCGAGCCAACCACAACACGGCCCTCGAATCACTGAGAGCCATCGATAGTTTCACACAATGTTATCTGACTGCCATCGCTTTTCTGTTGCTCCATTGCCACATGCACTCGCTCGCTCTGCTTTGCTTTTTACTCTGATTTGACATTGAAGGCCTCTGTAGTGTTTCACCTTGAGTTTGAATGTGAAACCAGCAGCATACAGATTTACAGGGTCGTTCCTGCGTTTATTGCCGATCTTAAACGGTCTCCTTCTGCGATGTGTGATATACTCCGAGACCGTTAAAGCTCGCGTATGGTACTTCAGTGCTCGGGGACATTTCAAATAAGTTCAATTACAGTCCCCGCACAGTGTTTTTGTTTAATGAAGGGCCCGTTTATATTTGGGAAACAGCCGGGGGAAGCCCTAAAAGGACACGTACGATATAAGATTACAGATTTTACAGACTGGAGGGAGGAAATAAGCTGTAATATTAACGGCTGAGGCATTATTAAAGCTGTCAGTCTTATAATGCTGTAAAATATTTTGTGGACTGTAAGCAGTAGTGTAAATATTTGATTGTGCTTCGGAATCGATGTGAAAAATGCAGTGTTTACTTGAGCAGGTGTGAGACGGAGGAAATCATAGCGCTGTCCCTGGTCCTTTTGCATCTCATAATTCATTTTAATCACAACTTTGCTCACATGTGATTCGTGTTCGTAGTATTTCTCGCAAGATGCTGTTGAATGGGTATAAAACAGAAAGAAGTGCTGGATATGGAGAATGACTTCATGAAATCAACATTATTTACTTGCTTGATACATGTATCTTGCTTTATTGTGAATGATTCATCAGTGTATGATCGTTCAACAAATGTTTGTTTTATATTCAATAGCCAATTAGCAATATTTGGTTTGTTTTTGGCTATACTGTTATGGGTAACGCTGCCTTTCTAAAAGTTGGCCAAGAGTTTGGCAAGCAATTTAACGTTAGGTTATGGCAATTCCAGCAAATGCATTTCTATTGGGATTCCTCAGAAAAGCTCACAAATTTAATTTAATCCTAAAAGTTTATTTAATCTAGTTTAATTCAGTATTTCATTT